AGAAAACTGCTGATGTTTGTCAAGGCTAATCATAGTTATCAGGAGACCACTCTATTCTGTGATTCAATCAGAGGAGCATTTTGTCCTATGACCTGAGAAGAACACTCTATTTTGTAACCAACCCCATGTGTTATGATCTCCTAATAAAAAGGCTTTGCAGAAGAAGTCATTCAGAGAGTAGATGTAGCTGAACGTAACTCTCTCCTTCTGCAGAAGCTGTAAAAAAAAATCCCTCTTCTGTGTGGACTCAGTTTCTCTTTTATGAACCTACATTTTTGAACGTAACAGAAGTGTTATTTAAACACCCGGTGATCTCTTTTCAGGAAAAAAAAGAACTGAAGGGAGAAAGCTCCAAGGTGTAGACATAGAGCTTTCCTTTAACAACAAGCGACGTTTGAACTAAATCTATAGCTCAGAACAAACATAATTTATGAATTCATACTTCCCATAATGCCACTGTGCCGCTTTCTGTCAGTGGCGACAAGCTTCCCTCTTTTTTTAAAGGAGCTATAAGCAAAATGTCACCATGAGGTTTTCTGTTGACCACTTTCTGCAGACCAAAACAAGATATTTGATTTCACTTATAAAATAACCTACTACTACCTTTACTGTTTGAATATTTTTTTCATTTATTTTGTTTCTCTCATCTTTTCATTTTGATTTAAAATAAAAGAGACCTCACGCTCGGGTTGCTGTTGGTGTAAAGACTCAGCGTAAATACACAGAATAAATGGAGCAGAGACAACTACACACTCACTTGTAGCTAACGCCTAAAAAAACGCCTTTAAAAAATAGATTTGAAGGACTTGAAATTAACTGTCTCAACTTGAGACTTGGAAAACGGTGACTTGTTCCCACATTTAGTCTGTTTCCTTTGCAGGAGATCGAATGTCTGAACCAGAAGCTGAGGTTTCTTTATCGGAAAATGCAGGTGAGATACTGAACACAACATTAGTGTAAGAGCCAATTTGAGAAAAATTCATTTATAGTTTTAGAAAGGGTTAAAATACAAGATTGATAATTTTGTTTGATGTTAAGATTATAATTTAAGTTTAAAACTCTAATATGAAAAGCATAGAATATAGAAATGCAATTTGAAATGCATATTTTTGGGCTTCCTGCATGCTGTAATTGTATACATGTTGTTTTGTTTGCTTTTACGTGCTGTACGTAAGGACTGAGGGGAAAACAGATATGCTGGAAGCAACACAGTTTTTGACCGAGTTTAGTTTATACGAATGTGGGTGATCTCTTATTTTTGTTTTCTTTCAATAAACATCACAAGTTGAAGAACATTATCTGGAATTGCTCGCGTTTCAAAACTAGTTGCTAGACTGTTTTTCCATGCGGTACAGAAGAAACTAAAGGAGCTGGAGTGCCGCTACAATACAATACAACACAACACTGCCTCCAGACAAAGAGCTGCAAAGTTCGTGTTGTTTTAGAAGTTCATTCCCAAAAGATTTAAAAAAAAAAAAATCTGGACTTCTCTTCCATCCAGGAAGCTTTTTCAATTCAAAATGTCAGAAATAGCGTTGAGTTCCAGGTTTTATCCAGCAGCCCAACAAAGCCTGGTTTTAGTTTAGAAAGCATGCAAATAGAAACGGATGAACGGGTCCCCCCCTTTGGAATGGGGGTCTTTTGGCTTCTTTGTTAGCCTGCAATGCCCCATACCTGTCTATGTCTCTGCCTTTTTTTTAGTCCACTCTATAAAGCCTCCAACTCAACAGTTTTTGCCTCCTGTTTATGTTTGACTGTTTCAGGTGGCAGATTCCCACAGCTGGAAAGGTGCGTTGATCAGAGCCCCGCTTTGGTAAAGCGGCCCCCCACGTCTCGGACCGACGGCACATTTGTTTTTTTATAATCTGCCCTTTGATGTTTCTCTGGATCATCATCACCTTCTCTTTATCTGCCACACAATCTATGAGCAAAGAAAAATTATACTTTCATCTGAGAAATAAAAATCCGTCGGCTGATTTGTGATACTAACACAGCAGGCCTTAGAAGATTGTTTGAAGAAGCTAATTTTTAGCACTAGTTTGAAGAAACGTTATAATATTTACAGAATAAAGGTAAAAAAGAAAAAGATGGAGAGAAACAGATGTGGTGTGTCTTTAATGGGCTGAATGAGAGATATTTTATTGTTGTGCATTAAACGTAGATCAGTTTAAAGAATATGTTAAGTGCAATTAGGTACTTTTGCAGGTTAAATATTAGATTAGCTAACATTACGACATGCACAGATAGCTACAACATTAATGTTAGTATTAAATCCCAATACTGAAGAACATTCTAGGGTCTTTCTAAAAAATAAATAAATTTAAGTTTGGTTAAAAATGTCTGGAACACAGTTTTCTTCTTTAAGGACATCATTCTTTGGTTTGATAAAAAAAATAGATAATTGAAACACTTACAGATTAATATTGGTTTTCAAGCTGGAATTTCATTTGCCGTGTTTATGATTTAATTCTCTGAAATATTAATTTCAAGTTTGCTTTTAGGATGCAGATTCACACCCATCATACATGTGAGTTTCTTTCCTGGAACAGAGTTAACAAACCTGCTTTAGCTTTGTTTCCCCTCCAGCTGTTGCTTTTCTGATCAAGCTCCAAAGTCGTCTGTCTCGTCTTTCTTCATACCTTTCTTATCTTTTCTGGTTGCAAGACAATACATTTCCCAGCATGCATCATGCTGTTTGAGAACTAGGAATCCTTAGTCTTTATTGGCATAATAAAAACATAGCATATTCACATCTAAGGAGGAGCAAATAATACAAGTAGAAGAAACGCAGGAACAAAGTTCACGTTTATAAGCTCTGTGCTTTGTGTACTGTTAGCTTTGCAAACTGTTCCACACACAGTTAAAGGTCATAAGAGGAGGCTCTGTTATAAGCAGGAGTCCTGCGATAGAAATCACTACTTTTATTGGGCCATTTTTTAAGTCCTTTAAACTCTGCGTTAAGCTCGCCATAATCGGCATCTTCGCCTTGCTCCAAATAACAGTGAAATCCTTTGCTCCAGTTATGAAATGTGGAAGCTTATTTTTCCTTGGCCTATTTGTGAGATAAAATATTTTTAAATAGAGGTGACTGTTTAGAAGTCTTGTACCAGTCTGTATGCTGGAGTTAAGTTATGGAGTTAAGATTGGGGATGACAAATAAAAATAAATAAATGAAATATATAATATAAAAAAAGATAAAGAAAAAAAGGAAAAAGAAATAAAAAAAATTGGGGATGACAGAAAGATGTTGCCTCCCGACTCTAGACAAAGATTCTTCTTTCAGCAGCAGCTCCTTCAGCAGAAGACTCCTCCTACCCAGATGCACCACAGAGCGCCACAGGAAATCGTTCCTACCAGTGGTCATCAATCTCTATAACGCCTCCCTCAAGTGATTCGCCCCCCCCCTTTAATTGACATTAATGCACTATTTTCAACATATTCTCATTATCAGTTCGTATGAAATCGTACGAAAAGTTATGCACAGTATTTCGTACGTTTTTGACGTTTTTCCTTGAAAAAACAGATCAGTGCGCATGCGCAGGCAGACAGACGAAAAAAGCAGATGGGACGTAAAACTGGGAAAAACAGTGCAATAATTACTTCTTCATGTCTCTAACTTTGTTGCTTGATGTTTTGTATCTTAGGGTTAGGGTTAATTGTATGTTAAATTCTATGTTATTGAATGGTGCGTAAGATGCGCATGCGCAAGGATATCTTGTCTCGAGGCAAGACGTAAAAATACGACGAAATAAGACGAAAAAAATGTCTAAAACGTACGAAATTACGGTGCATAACTTTTCGTACGATTTCATATAAACTCATAATGAGAATACACTGCTGTTTTTGCACGCCAAATATCACTTTACTTGGATTTATCACTTTACTTGGTTTTTCACTGTACTTGGATTTAGTTTTTACATATGCATAGATATATACATACATATATATATACAGAAGAGCTATATGTGTATATATTTTATCTCTTTTTATTCTTATTTTTATCTTTATTATATTGTGTAGTTGGATGTGTGTATATATATATATTATATAAAACTGTAACTGGAGCGTGTAACAAAAGAAATTTCCCTCTGGGATTATTAAAGTATTTCGTCATAAGAGCGTCATGATAGATAAGAATGAGTTCACAGCCACCTTCATGCCTGTTCTAAGTGTTTATCTGGCTAAAATGTATGTCCTTGATGAATTGCAGTGTTTTTTCTTGGGAATAACCCAAGTGTGAGAAAGTTCTTCATGCAGGTGGTTGGTTCCTCTGCAGGGAGTATGTGTAATTTTATAAGGTATAAATGTATGTACTGAGCTTGCTGCAGTCAGTGAGGATGTGAAATAAATTTGAACCTCATTTTTTGCAAGAAAGGCCTCCGTCTTAGCTTCCTAACTTCACAAAAATTAGCCTCAGGTCTGAACATACCTTTAGGGTATTTTCACTGTTATGTAAAAGTGAGATACAAAAAAAAGCCACTAGGGGAGGTAGATTTGTAACTTCCAGGTAAATCCCCCTCTGTGTTCTGGAATAGCAGACCAGTTGGGACCACAGCCATGAAGTTAGGGGATTTGTAGACTTGATAATTATTGGGCTGTTCTTGATGTTTTTCATTTGTATCTTTGCAGGTGGAAATAGCTTTGGTTTAAAATTTTCAGCTCAGGCTTTTTCTAAATATTTCACCCTAATTTTTGTTTAAGCTTAACAACGATAAAGACTGATTATATGCAAAACAGCAGCACCATAACTGACAGGTAGAGATTACTGTATGTCTGTGGGTTAAGTTTACATTTCCATTTATAAAATCTGTTCTTTGCTTGAAACAATAATGGGAAAAAAGTCCTTAAACCCTGACCCTGAATCTTTTTAGGTAAGACTTCTATTACATGACAAACACTCCACCCCGTCCCTGTGATGGCGTGGAAATGGAACGGGGTGGAGCCAGTGATGGCATGTCCTTCCTCCTGTTTGTTATGAACACGCCATTCACAGTCTACACTGTTCCAGCTGTGGTGTGGATGCATGAATCACTGATTTCCTACTAGGAGAGTTTATCATTGAAAACAGTGATGTCTGTGATTTTGGACGAGGATCTTTACTGCTCCATCTGCCAGGATACCTTCAGGGATCCTGGCATCCTGTTCTGCAGCCACAGCTTCTGTAGGTCCTGCATGGAAAGCTGTTTGCATGGTAAAGACATACTGGAGTGTCCTCTTTGTATGAAGAGTAGAAAAGTTGCTCCAAAGCCAGAGGTTATCTGCCGTCTCCACGGTGAGAAATTCAAACTCTTTTGCGTGGAGCACAGGGAGCCTTTGTGTCTCGTTTGTCAGCATTCAGATGAACATGCTGGACACAGATTCAAACCAATCAGTGAAGTCGCTGAGGGGCAGAAGAAAGTGCTCAGAAAGGCCCTGGGGCCCTTACAGCAGAAGCTGAAGGTCTTCAGAGAGGAGAAAGGAAACCTGAATGAGACGGTGAAGCACGTTAAGCTCCAGGCTGAACAGACGGAGGGACGGATCAGGGAGCAGTTCAGGAAGCTACGTCTGTTTCTCCAGAGGGAAGAAGACACCAGGATTGCTGCTCTGAGGACAGAAGAAAGCAAGAAGATCCAGAAGTTAAACCTAAAGATTGATGCCCTCAATAAAGAGATTGCTGCTCTTTCCCGGAGCATCAATCAAACAGAAGGAATGCTGAAAGCTGAGGATGCTTTGCTGCTGCTGAAATTCAAGACTGCTGTGCAAACTCTCCGACAGCGCCCCCTGCTGGACGACCCGCAGCCCGTCTCAGGAGCCCTGATAGATGTGGCCAAACACCTGGGAAACCTCCCCTTCAACATCTGGAACAAGATGAAACATCTGGTGTCCTACACTCCTGTGGTTCTGGACCCGAACACGGCCAACTTTGAGCTCATCCTGTCCGAGGATCTGACCAGGCTGAGATGCGGACAGAAACAGAACCTCCCAGACAACCCAGAGAGGTTCGACTTCTTCCGCATCGTCCTGGGCTCTGAGGGCTTCATGTCAGGAATCTACAGCTGGGACGTTGATGTTGGAGAAAACACAGACTGGTTTGTGGGCGTCGCTTCACAGGGAGTCCAGAGGAAAGGAATTCATCCCACCCGTCTGTGGAGAATAGGGTGCCTGGATGGGGAATATGTCGCTCGGGCCCTATCAGAACCTTCCCTTGTTCTGTCTCCAGTCGGAAAGCTAAGCAGGATCAGAGTCCTTTTGGACTGGAACAGAGGGAAGCTGCTGTTCCTTGACCTTGATACCAACACACTCATTCACACCTTCTCATATACATTTACAGAGAAACTCTTCCCATATTTCAACACGCTGAATGAAACGCCACTGAAGATAATCCCAGAAAAGTTCTTTGAAAACCTGAGTTGAAATAGAAATCATTGGAGGCAGTTCTGGAGAACCAGCATCACAAACATACAGATGGATGGAAATTACTTACTGGAAGAATTTATTTAACACTTAAATCTCAGGGCTTATTAAATAGATATATTTAAATAAATGTGTATTTAGATAAAGTCATTTGAACTGTAAACGAAAACATAAAATTTGCACCTAAAGCCAGGCATACACTGTACGATTTTTTACCCATTTTGGGCCGATTCTCCAGTCGTGCGAGGATTGCACGATCAGGCTAAAACTCGGCCTGATCGTGCATCGTGTAAATCAGCTCACGTCAATGATGTTTAAAATTCGGTCGGCCATCGCAAGGTGTTGGTGGGTAAATTCTGCCGTTGAAGTAAAGCTACGAGCCGATTTACCATCACCTTGAGCACTGCTCATGTGCAAACACAGGAGTTCTTCTTCTTCTCGCAGATTGACAAGTCCGACCAGCCCCATCTCTCAGTGCTGAGTCAGACATCTTGTTTTTGGACGTACAGTGTGAGCACAAACATCATGCATGTGGCTGGGTGCAATGATTGATAATATTGCACAGTGTATGCCCGGCCTAAACACTGTGGCACTTTAATTATGCAATTCTTGCAAGAATGAGAAGAGAGAGGTTCACTCCTGCGTCCTACTCAGCCGGCTCTGCTCTAACAGAGCTGCACTAAGTTTTTATACCTCCCCCAGAGCTGAAGGTGTCACTGAGAACAGCTTGGATGACAACAAGACAAAAACAGTCCTTGAGTGGTCAGATGTGTACTGGACCCGGCCAATATTCACAACTGGTTAATCTGCCAAACATAAAAGAAAACACTGTAACTCCTGAAGAGACCGGTGAAAAGCAACAGCAAGTCTAACCAATAAAGACTGGACATAAAGGGGGATATGTTGTGCCATAAAACATGAGGAACCAATGTCCATGTTTCCTCTGAACATGATAACCGGAGAAAAAGGATGCAGGTTTGGCTCATGGGGCAGCTGTCAGACCTCGATCCTCTGCTCTGCAACCCCCTCTCTGCCAACTGGCTCTTCAGTGATTTAATCGAGTGCATGCAAAGAAAAACATGTAATTGGTCCAGTTTTTCTAAAAGCGAAAGAAAATGCAATTCAGAAATAAAACTTTTCAATAGATCTCAATTGATCAAAACAAATATGCCTGAACCCTTAAAGAATACAAAACTCCAGTTCTGTGTTACATATAAAATGATATAGACTTAATAAAAGGTAATACAATAAAAATAAGGTATTTAAACACTGTTTAAATGATTTTGTCTGTTTGTACCCCTGTTTCTGCATGGAGATTGCATGTTCTTCCATTTCATGCAGGATTTTCAACCACAGACTGCTGCATAAATGCACCAGCCGCCTCTGACCATGAAGGATAAGCGGGAGAAGATGGATGAATGGATGCATGTTTTTTTTTTTTACTTGCAAGTAATACCTCATACTCTATTTTCTCTCTACTATATTTATTGAAAATCTTAGTTATAAGTTCACTTTAAAATTAGGATTTTGAAATAAGCATGCCCGCCATCTTTGTGTTTTAAGTCAATTATACGTCCAACAGCACCCCAAAAGGGCAATTATTCATTTGTAAACTTTTCTCGTTTAATAAAATATATTTCAATATTAAAACTTTGTTTTTATGTTGTTTTTTTTTACATAATTATTCCTGTCATTGGAGAGAATTAAATCTTTGAAGTTATTTTACAAATCCATGTAAATGATAATGTATTTGTAAAACTGTGCAACAAGCATTTCACAATCCAGACTTAGATGCATTGGCTGTATTGGCATCCCATACATTTTAACAGACTAAATTGATTGTTGGCACACTCAGATGGGAGGGGAAAAGTCTAACCACATGTTTGTAAAAACTACAAATGAACAAGAAGAAAATCTACACAAATATATCAATGTTCTCTCATATCCAGCATTTTAGACTACACAGAGTGGTTCCTATATTTGCAGCTCCCTTTGTGAACCGAGAGTCATGACTCATGTAGCAGAATTGCTGTTGGCCGATTACCTCAGGGAGAAAATGTGCTGCTCTTCTCTGACACCCACTTGTCAGCAGCAGAGTTTTTTTTAACTTCTGGGATTTTTTCTCTCTCTCTGGCTGCTTGGTTTCATCTAGTTTGTCTTCATGCCTTAAAATTTTTCGATGACTTGCCAACAGATTTCCCGAGCTCATCCCTTCCTCACTTCTCAGTGAGATCGTCACTTTACACGTCCAAAATCTAAGAATAAACCCGCAGAGAGCTTAAGGTGTGGATGTTTATACATTTCTGAGTGAACTAAGAGATCCCTCAAGGCAGGGTTGTTGGCCCTAAACGTTTATAACTCATAGCTTTTATCATTTTAGATATACGTTTTTTTTAAAAACTAAAATATCTATTTAATTCTATTCAGTTTATTTATATAGCGCCAATTCACAACACGTCATCTCAAGACACTTTACAGGTCACCAGATCATCCAGTCAGATTGATTCAAAGTTTTCCATCTAAGGAAAACCAGTTGATTGCATCGACTCATTGACTCTTCAGCAATCCCTCACACTAAGCATGCTTGTAGTGATAGTGGAGAGGAAAAACTCCCTTTGAACAGGAAGAAACCTCCAGCAGAACCAGGCTCAGTGTGAGCGGCCACCTGCTGAGGCTCACTGTGTCATGATTTTATCTAAAAATCTGACCCACGTGCAAAAAATCAAACAGAGAGTCCAGGGGAAAGTTTTACAGGTTTTATTGTGAGTTGGTAGAGAGGAGTCCAGTGCTGCTCTGAACACTGTCAAACCGGGACTGCGGTTAGTTCAGGCTCAGTGGGAAATTTGTGTCTTTGATTTGAAGAAGGGAATAAAGGCAACAGGATTCACGTTTCCAGAAAAAGGTGTTTACGTAGAATCCAGTCGTTGTGGGTTGTTCCAGTAATAGACTTGTTCGTTGGAGGGCGGACAGGGTTTACCCAGTGTTATGTGTAGTATCCAGGACGAGGTAGAAGCTCACGTAGGCAAAGAACTCTTAACAGCTTTATTTAAGAACTCGTTCAGCAAACAGTAACATCAGGTCTGCTTCTTTTTTCTATATCACTTCTTCTACTCCTCTTTTTATTCTCTACTCGTACACCACCTAGTGGTAGACACAACATTCCCCCCTTACTTGAAAAGCTTGCATGTACCCGTGTAGCATAACACTGAACATTAACCTCATTTAACAGTTTTTATGTAGTAGGTATAACTTTAGCTGAAATCAAAGTAGGTGGTTACTTAACTAAGCAACAAAACCAATCAAATATATTTAGCAACCCTGTACTTTAACATTTGGAGTTACTAAGAAACAGAATTACCAATGTAACCATTGAGAAATAAAATCCAAGTATTTGAACATTTTGTACCATGAGAATTAGTCCACCTGTACCCAAAACATGTAACACACTCATTTATGTATCCATTAACTTTTTTTTTTAGCCTGTTTGAAAGTCCTTGAGCCACACTGGTTGAGCAGCAGTTCTAACACTTTTCCTTTGAACCAATAGGTCACTTTCCTCTGGTTCTGTTGTTTTACATGGAATACCTGCAGAGTATCGTGAAAGTCTGGCAGCATTCCACCTTTTATTGTCACTGAGTACATACGTACTTTCTCCAATCTGCTTTTCAACACACAGCGGTGGAGTAAATCTAGATGAGCCTTTGCGAACATGATGGGGTCTTTTTACCCTCACCATATCTCCAGGTTTGAATGTTGGTGTCTTGGCTCCACGGCGCTTGTCAGTGTATTGTTTAGACTTTTCTTGTTTCTGTTTAACNTTGCCAGTAGCATGAATAGCCGTTAAGTAGTTCTCAAACATTTTCCGCCACATGGAAAACGGGACTGTAGGTTCTCCACTGCAGGGTAGGAATGGTGCAGGCATGGGTACAGACGTCATCGTCGCCAAATGTTATGTGTAGTATCCAGGACGAGGTAGAAGCTCACGTAGGCAAAGAACTCTTAACAGCTTTATTTAAGAACTCGTTCAGCAAAACAGTAACATCAGGTCCTCTTCTTTTTTTATATCACTTCTTCTACTCCTCTTTTTATTCTCTACTCGTACACCACCTAGTGGTAGACACAACACCCAGATTAAGGTGTTTCCTTGAGGAACGGAGGAGCTGACTGCCACTTAGTTTTCCTGCGGTACTTGAACGTGGAGATGAATCCCCTGCTTAGAGAGAAGCCCAAACTATCCTTGGGAAAAAGTAGATCCAAACCACCAGTTTAAATCCTCAGCTCAGTTTGATGCTCAGACAATCCTTCCAGGGGGGAGAAGGTCCAAAACATCCAGTTTGCAGGATGACTTCCTGCCGAGGGGCAAAGACAAAAGAAAACAACAAGGTTAAGACTCAGGTGACAAAAACTCAGTTTGACTCAGCAAAACTCAGCTTGGCTAGAGTACCCAAAACTGGCAAACACTCTGGCGTCGAGGTGGTGGTAGTCAGCAGCTTAAGAGTCCTCCGGTAATGAGGCAACCAACCGCAGGTGTGTGAGAAGGCAGACGAGAACCAGGCGCCCTCTGGTGGCGGAGAAAAACAAAAAACACAACCCACACAAACTGGATTCCTAACAGACTGGGGTTCAGGGAGACAAAAGTTGACGTAGAAAAAGCTAGTATAGATAATGATACATTGATCATTCCCTGCTGACTGGACTTTTCTCACTCACTGAGAAAGCTTCCTGGAGAGGTAGCGAAACGTCTTCAAATCTTGGAAACCAAGTCCAGTGGATATTTTTTTAATTTTTTAAGGATTTTCTTATAAGCGAACAACAAGTTATCTAGATTTAGTTTGTGATACAATAATGTTTTTACACACGATAGATTTAGGATGTGGAGAGCTGTGAGGGTTTTTTTTATTATAAAAAGTACAAAATATTGAAAAAAAACATTAAATTAAACACAGAAAAATCACTCATAAACTTAAGAAATTAAATATATACAGAAAAGCAAGGAACAGTATTACTTAAAGAAATAATGAACAGAATTTCCAAAAAAATACAAATATGGCTTTTTAAGAATTGTAATAAAGGAACAAATAAAATCAAAGAGGTAAGTCAAAAAGAAACACAAATTAGTGGTTGCAAGTATCGCAAAAAGAAATTAAATCAATCAACATTAATGTTCAATTTATTGTCAATTGTATTAATGAAAGAACTTCCTGAAACAAAAGCATTTTCAAACTCAGTGGCAGAAAGAAACTTAAACATAAACAAATCTCGATTAACTAAACTTTTAAACAACTTAATAATATTTACCTTTCTTTTCTCAAAATGCATTATGTTTCTAGCCAATCATATCGCCATCCTGGCATGACTTAACAAAAAATTAACTAAACTTTTATTTTTGAAATTTACAGCAATAACCGTGCCAAATAACGAAGGTATTTTCCAATCTAAGTGTACATTTGTGCTCCAGTGTTTAGCAATTACATGTTGTTTTTTTTGAGGGTTAGAGGTCTGAGGGAGATGAGGGGGGCTTCACTTAGGGTACGTATTTGGTGAGGGGCCCCACTGTCTCACACTTATAGTCTGTAAGAATCATGGTCAAACCATTGTTAACAATTGCATTCATATTCATGTTTATCTCATGGCTGTGAAGTACAACAATAAGCAGACCCTCAGTGGAGGAAGCGTTTTGCCCAAGGACACTACAACTGAGACGGACAGAGTAGGACTTGAACTGGAGACCCATGGGTCATAGGATCCCCTCCCTCCTGAGCCACTTTCATCCTAAAAATATAAATATCTAAACATCTGACAACCATTGAACTTTTATAAAAGATTATTTTCCCTAGTTTACCTTAAAGCCTAAGCAATGGTTATGTCAGGTTGGAGCCCTTTCTTAAATTTCCTATTAATTTTCCACTGTTACATTATATCTTCCTTACCCATATACGTCATGTATTTCATTTCTGCGTTCCTTGCCACTCCTGTTTTGTTTTTTTGCATGTCAGGTGGCCCAGCTACTTAGATGCTATAAATATCTAACATATCGTCAGAGGCCATTAACTGAGAAATGCATTTCATGACATAAGGGGGAATTTGAACAAAACATCTAAGGTAAACTGTTTTAAATTGTCAACTAGATCAACTGCATTGTTACCCATATATTTTATGTAATTTCCTTGTCCGCACTCTCCGAGAACAGCCACACCTGTTTCTTAATCACTTTGACATAGTTTTCACATGTTGTCAATCCTGTTATCTTGTGAAAGCTTGTTTTGACTAATCATGCAAAAAGACCAGAGTTTTGTTTCCTGAAGATAAAAACACATAATAGAGAGATGATAAAAAGAAGGCTGCAGTGCAACAAACATCCAGCTCTGGTGTTTAGCCCTTGTTTTACTGTTAAATCTGACACTTTGGGATGCTCTGCAATGGTAAATATTCATTCATTCATTTGCCATCATTAACTTCAAGGTGCAAAGTCAAAAAAATAAGCAAAAAACATTTTAACTTAATGAAATGAAGTTGTTTTCACCTCAGGTCCATCCTGATTGTTCTTTTTTTTAGCCCAAATAGAATTCCATCTCCGGGTGCGATCAGGGGCAGATTTAGAAAATTTGGGGTCCTAGGCAAAGACAGGCAGAGGGGCCCTCTGAACTGAGAAGCCAAACATGAAACAGACCCATTATACAGATACATACATTTTAACAGGTTATCCTGAGCTATCTCTATAGTTGTGCT